GTCCTATTCCACCCATGTGGTCGCACTTGTCTTATGTTCGGATGAAATTCCAAGGAAATGGTCCTTAAGTGCAAGAGCGGGAAACCGTACACCCGGTACGTTCCCCGGTCCACGATTTTGGAAATTCATTTAGTTCGCAAGCACCGACCCAGGTGTCAGGTTTTTCCAAGTCTTTTGTAAAACCCAAGTTTTACCCAAGAAGTTACTCAAATTTTAAGTTTGAAGGCGACCGTCGATACTCGCACAGAGTGCACAGAGCGCAACTAGATGGTTACAAGGGAACGTGATATAACAATTACAATGGAAGGGTCAAATGCAACAAGTTAGGTAGGCCCGCCAATCTGCCTTGCAGACGGGGCAAGCAGATTAAGTGCAATCCTATCAATGCATAATATTTTTCAAGCAATATAATTAAGTTCAAATATAGGCTCAAGATGTTCAAAGGTGGCTTGCCTTGCTCGAGATCTTGAGCTTGATCCTCGAAATCCTCGAAATGCGGGTCTTCGGGCTCCGAAACTACACGCGAAACGGGACAACTCAACAAACGGCGAAAATAAAGCCCTATTATTGACCTCTAGGCGTGCCATTAGATAGATCTCGAGATTTGAGGAATTTTGGAAGTTGAACGGAGTCAAACGAGCTTACGGTTGGGAAGATATTGAATTTCTAAGTTTATTGGATTTTTGGTCTAAAGGAAAAGGATTTATTTAAATCCTTTTTTTGAAAAAGAAAGGAAAAGAAAAGAACGAGGGAGGGAAATTAGACTTTCCTCGGTCGGCTAGGGCGCGGCCCGAGAGTAAGGGGCAGCTCGGCCGAACTTAACGGGCCGGCCGGCCCGAGAAGGCGGCCCAAAGCGCGCACGCGGGGGGGGGGGGGGGAGGGGGGGGAGAGAGGGAGCCGGTGGGCCGGGTCCACCTTGCGTGGTCCCGGGTGGGACCCGCTTGTCGGCGGCTCGGTTCACCGTGAGCGAGGAGCACGCGACGCGGCGCTAGGGTTTGGGCGGGGCGCGGCGCACGCGCGCGGCTCGCGGGGGACGCGGGTGCGGCGGGCCCACGCGTAGCCTCGCGGCTCACCGTGGACCATGCGCACGGGGAGGGTGGAACGGAGGGAGCGGCTGACCGGGTCAGCCGATCCGGTCATGCCGAGGTGGCTCCGACGTGGCGCCTACGTGGCTGCCACGCGGGCCGGCGGGAGGTTGAAGAAGGCGCCGGCCGGAACGGACGGCGGACGGTGGCTGCGAACGGCGGGGCGAACCACGATGATACAGGCGAAAGTGAGCACACCGGGTGGTTGCACGAGATGAGGGGAGACGAGCCAACGGCTCGGATTCGTCGGAGGGGGCTCGACGGCGGCGGATTGCGGCGGCGGCAACCGGCGGCGAGGGAAGGGGGAAACAGCGACGGCGCGACAGGAGATCGATTCGGGCGAGCTAGAGCATCTATGCGACTCCGGGAATCCGTCCCTTGCGCCGGATTAGAGGGAAATGCACTGAGGGAGGCCGGCGACGAGAGGTGCTTCCGAGCTCGGGCGGCGACGGCGGCGAGCACACGGCGAGCGACAGCAACAGTCGGGGCAGCGCCAGCTAGCTACTGGGGGACTACTCGAGCGGCTACTCAAAGCTAAGGGGAAGAGATGGAGCGAGGAGGGAGAACGGAGGGATGCACTACCGTGCGGGACGGGGCGCAGTGACGAGGGGCCGACGGCACGGGAGTGATCTCTCCGGCCTCGGGCCGGGGAAGAGGAAGAAGACAAGCTCCCGGAGTCCCCTTCCGCGTCCACAAACGCGCCGGCTCCTCCGGCATGCGTGGCAACGAAAGGCGGCGGCGAACAGAGCACGGGAGGCGGCGACAATGGAGTGGAGGCGATGGGACAAACGAGAGGAGAAGGGAGGGAGGGCGCCTGGGCTTTATAGGATGGCAATGTCGGTTTGGGAACCGACCTAGGGCGGTCAAAGGAGAGGGCTAGCGCTCGGCGGTCGCGGCCAAAACGGTGACAGGGGGGGGGGGAATGACGCCGGCGGGAGAGAAAAGGGAAAAAGGAGGGGAGAAAGGGGGCTTGCCCCTTGCCACTTTGGGGAAAAGGAGGAGGGAGAGAGGGCGACGCGGCAGAGGGAGGAGGAGCTTTGCCTCCATCCCTTGGAGGCTAGCGCGCGGAGTGGCGAGGCCGGGTTGTGACGACGGCGATGACGGCGGGGGCGGTGTGGAGCGGAGCGGCGACACGGGCGGCAGGCGCGGACAGGCGCGGCAGATGCTGACGGCGGCGGTGACTGGCCGGTCGGCCACCACGGCGTGCGCGCGCGGGAAGCAACGGGCGGCGCGGCGATTTGGGCGTCGTCGGCGGGAAGCGGTAGCGAGGGCGGAGGGCGCTCGGCTCGGCGCGGCTCACGCGCACGCGCGCGCGGCGCACGGGCAGAGCGGGGGAGAAGGGGAGAGGGAGAGAGAGAGAGAGAGATGGGGAGGGAGGGAGAGATGGGCTGAGAGGAATTCGGCCCATCGAACCCGAGGGAGGCAAAATAGACTTTTGCGGAGGGATTTGATTTGGGAAGGATTTGGATTCGGGATTGGAACTTGACGATAGATCGGGGATTTGAGATCCGGAATGGCACAGAGACTGACTGCAAGCGAAGAAACAATTTTCGCAATTAGGGTTTTTAGAAATTACATTTTCCCGCTAGGCGCCACGACGGAACGGGCGCTATAGTCGGCCAGGCTAACTCTGTTTGGGGAGCTCCTCCCCTTCTATGTGGGGAGCTTCTTGGTAGCCTGGAGGCAGTGCCCAGTCCACAAGGAAAACTCAGGTTGCCGAGGCAATGTTGTTCCTTGTCCAGACTCCCTTGGGTCAGATTCGACGGGGAAGCCGAGGGGCGGCGTGACGGAGGCGGCCTGGATCAGTGCGCTGTCGAAGGTGTGAAGCATCTAGGCCCCCGGTGTTAATTTTGGTAATTAATGACAAGCACTAATTGTGGACTAACCGTTGTCTTTGAGCTATACATTTTTAAGTTAGGTCCACGTCATATGTGCGCATGGATGATTATCGATGGATTAAAATTGACGGCGCAAAGCAAAGGGAAAGAAGACGGTAAAACTAGCGCTTTAATTTAGAATTGATCGAGGTGTAGGGCGATCAAATTTGCTAGTTTAATTTTAGTTTCGCCGTACTATTAAGAGGGGTAATGACCTAGCAAAGAGATGATTTTAATTGCCACATTAGGTCATTGCATTTTCATTTGTGCTCTCTTTTTCATTACAAACACATTCACTTACAAATTCACTGGGTTCGGCCTGACCAGGGACGGTCAGACCGGCCACATAGTGGCGGTCTGACCGGCGTGCCCTGGCCGGTCTGACCGGCTACATAGTGGCGGTCTGACCGGCGGCACTTTCCTGGTCAGACCGGCCCCCTGGAGGCCGAGATGATGCTGCTCGGGATGGCCGATACAGAGCCGACGGAGCCGTAGTCGGTCAGACCGAGCCGATGGCGGTCTGACCGAGCCGAGGCCGGTCTGACCGGCCACCCCATGTCGGTCTGACCGGCCAGGCCGATGGGGCCCTCTGACAGGGCTACAACGGCTAGTTTTCTAGCCGTTGCAGAGTAGCACGGTCTGACCGGCCACATATCTCCGGTCAGACCGGCAGAGCACAAAGTTGGGGGATTTCGCCCCCAACGGCTAGTTTTGGTGGGTGGGAGTATAAATACTCCCCCACCAGCAGCAAGGGGGCTCTCTTGGCACCCAATTCAATTGCATACACCCCTTGCACCTCTCTCACACTCACTTGAGCTTTGTGTTCATCCATCTAGTGTGTTAGAGGGTTGTTTAGCCAAGAGTCAAGTGCATTTGCTTCCATTGTAGAGCTAGAGTGGCACTTGATCATCTCCACACCGGGTCATTACTTGTTACTCTTGGAGGTTGCCGCCTCCTAGACGGCTTGTGGAGGAGTTGCCCGGTGACCTCTCCGAGAAGATTGTGGAGGAGGCCCGGCGCCGGTTTGTGAGTGGTTTGGAGTTCACCACCTTCGGAGTGAAGGAAGAACTACCCCGAGTGATCGAGGCTTGGGTAGTCCTCTCCGTGGGCCGGCTCCCGCCTTGCCCACCCCTTGACGAAGGGGGCGTGCGGTGGCTTCGTGGTTGAGCGGTGGAGTTGAGCTCGCCTCAACGGGGAGTAGGAAACCGGCGAGTTTCCGAACCTCGGTAAAAAATCTCTTGTCTCATTGTCTCATTTGATTGTCGCATTTACATTTGTGTAATTTACATTTCTAGAGACACACTTGAGATCATATCACCCTAGGATTGCAAAACATTGACATAGGAGCGTGATTTACTTTCCTAGAGATATAATTGAGCCACTATCACCCTAGGTTTGCAAAACATAACTTAGTTGCTTAGTTAGAGTTCACCCTCACCAAGCCTAGCAACTTAAGTTAGATTTGATTAGGTATTATTTAGTTTTAAATCGCCTATTCACCCCCCCCTCTAGTCGGCATCTCGATCCTACAAGGTGATGGGTGATGTGGCAGTCTTATCGTTGGCAGGACTGGAAGCCGGTCGATGGAGGGGCGTCGGTCAGGTGTGGCGGAAGCCATATGCCACCTATGTTTAGTTGGTGGTTTCGGATTAGGCGACGGACCATGGCGGTAAGGGGTTCCGAGCGAAAGGTTAGCCTAATTTTTTTGGGCCAACAGTGATTACGCTTTCGGACGTGGTAACCCTCCTGAGGGCATTGTTGAGGTACCCCTCATCCCTTGGCAAGGAGCTATGGGTGAAAACGTTGTCCCGTTTTTGGGATGGATGACGACGGTGCTTTTTTAGTGTCGCGACCCTCGTGAGGGTGTCGTTTTAGAGTCTTGCGCCATGGTGTTGTTGTTGGCCTAGGTGACGATTGGTCTCGCATAGCGATGGCCGGTTCGGTGCTCGGTTTCCCTCTTTGTAGCGTGTGTTTGCGCGGTTGACACATGGTTCGGAGTGTGTGCTCTGGTGCACTTCCTTCCTCGACAGCCAGCTGCTGATGTAAAACTTTTCTTGTAACCTTTTCTTCCAATCTTAATTACATTGAATGACCTCCTTCGGACATTCCGGTTAAAAAAATGAAGACATGCCAAGGCATTCTTTGAGTTGCCAATCACTTTTGCATGAACCCATGCAGGATCCAGTGGCCTTGAGGAAGAAACTGGAGGTGATGCCATTATGGTGTCTCCAACTGCCTCAGTTCTACGATAGACAGAATAACAAAGAAAATCTCTCAGAAAACACTTAAAAATAGGACACAACTACACCGAGAGTGCTAGCTAGATAGTGCTTGAGTGCTAGCTAGATAGTGCTAAAGAGAGACATCCTTCTTTAAAAAAAAAGCTACTAGTACACTCAATATCTATGTATTTTTTTTCTTCCTAGAGAAGTTTCTCTTAAATTACTTATCCGATTTATAATCCGATTATACCGTTGTATTCGTTGCAATTAAATCTTTACAACAAGATCTTACATGATTATATTTTGATGAAAAATTATAAATTACTTTTATCATATATCTAAATTACTTTTAGATTTCACTAAATTACTTCATAGACATATAAAAGTAAATTCAATAAAACCTAAAAGTAATTTACATATATTATAGAAGTAACTTATAACAAAAGAAAGTAACTTTAATGAATGCCTTTTTTCATAGGACATGAAGTCATATTTTTATCCCTACAACGAATTTACTTCTAATGTCGTGACAAAGTCACGTCCGTTTTGTTTTAAGTTACTTTTATAATATATGTAAATTACTTTTAGACTTTATTGAATTTACTTTTATATGTCTAAGAAGTAATTTAGTTAAATCTAAAAGTAACTTATGTATATAATAAAAGTAATTTACAAATATAAATATTTTTTTATCATAATATAATCATGTAAGATCTTATTGTGAAGATTTAATTGTAACGAACACAATGGTGTAATCGGATTGTAAATCGGATAAGTAATTTAAAAGAAAACTTTGTTTGAAGAGGAAAAAGGGTATGCATGCATGTAGTACTAGTCCGATGTAGTAGACTCAACGTCTTCTCCATATTCAGGCGTCGCTAGTTAAGGCAAAAACGAGAGGCCTCTCCAAATAGATTTTACGTTAAAAATAACTGTTAATACGGTATTACTGGACAGTAATTCTATTTATAAAGCATACATGCTCAAATGAAATGAAATTAAGCAGTACAAATATTATGCAACCACAGCACCGAGCATAGAAGTTCTGAAATTGCTAACACTGCTAGCGGTAACCGGCGATTTCAACTACAATGAAATCGAAAACCGTGAGATTTCACTTGAACACAGTCCAAATTACACGAGACTGAAAAAAAATATGAATCGGATAGAGCACAAGTACAGAGTAGTCCACCTCTCGTTGATCATCAGATGGTAGAGGCCGACCGCATCTGCGTCGGCGGCGGCTTCTTCCTCCTTGTGCTCGCCGCTCTCCAGCCGGCAGATCTTCTCGGCGAGCTCAGAGAGGGGAAAACCGGGAGGAGACTGGGCGGAGTCGGGCGAGAAACCGGAAGTCATTGGCTGATTCACAGCGGCGCGCGCGAGCTCTGGTGTGTGTGTGTGGGGGGGGGGGGGGGGGGGGGATGGTAGGGGGACTAGGGCGGGTGGCCGCGGCGGCTACCGGCGGACGTCGGCGAGATTTCCATAGAATCCGGCGGTTGCCGCGGGGATTTCGCCGGTTGCCACTGGCATCTGATCTTCGCGGACGCACGAGGCGGCGGAGGAGATATTTCAATTTACATAAAAATCCTCTAAAATCCATGTATTTGAAAGATGCTCGGGCTCCTTTGGAACAGAGCAAAAGTGAAAGATCTTTTTATCTGAAATTCGGGATGTCTATACCATATTAAATACATATTTGCTAGAAAACTTCCGTAAGTTTTTTTTCCTCAAAACGTTCAGATTTGTGACTACCGGATCGCCTTGAGATTTACGCATGAAGAGAAATAAAGTGCTAGATTTTTTTTCACACATGTCACCATGCGTACGACAATTTTTTAGATACTCTCAATCCTGGACATCACACAAGCAGTGCCGAACACATGACTGAAACAATTCCCAATGCTCATCCATGTAAATTACAAAATTATAAATATTGGATAAATTGCATAGGTAATAACCAGGCATGTGATTATACAGGTTTTAACAATAATGAAATGTCCTCAAGCTTAAGATGAGGTGGGGAATAATGTGACCTGTTTTCCTTTTCTAAGGCGTCTAAGCGTTCAAGATCATGGCACCACGTACAAGGCTCACGAATAGTTAACTCAACAATAGATGGAACTTTCCCCCTGATGTATCTTTCAATTGCCATGACCCCTCTATGGGCTTCCAAGATCATCTCCCTTCTTAGTGGGTAGCATGAGCCGGTTTTGCGGATAGTAGTCGTACAACATCTCCCAATATTTTCAAGATCATGCACATCACATACAGCATCCAATGTAATAGTTTCCAGCGATGTTGTGTTCTCGAGTATATGACATGTTAGCTCAACCATGCTCGTCGCGGAGCAGAATCCAATGATCATCACCTCCTTCAGCCTCTCATGCTTGTGTCCAGGCATAGTTCTCAAATTTGTGGTTGTGTCACCGGAAACTGAATCATGCTTCATTCCTCCCTGCTGCACCTGCATAGTATAACAAATGATGACACCTAAATATTGCATTGGTTCACAATAGATACCAAGATATAATTGTAGGGAAGAGTAGGAACTTACAGACAAGATGAAAGTATCCAAAACAGGAGATGCGTGGAGAACTGAAACCAAAGACAAATAATCGTATTCTGGGGGGAAGGCCTCATCACTACCATCAAGACCATCAAAATAAATCTCCAAGTACTTCAGGTGGAGGAATTTGGCATCAACCATAGGTGTATTAATCCTCTACATAAAGATACATCATATTAGTTAGGGTAATTTTACTATGCTTGAGAAAGAATAATACCGGAGGTAACACATTTTCTAGTATAAAACTTGGTAGCTCTAGATAAGGTATATTTCAAGATACTAAAATTTTGAGTGTAAAATTTAGATATCTCGAGATACTTCTCAAAGACCGTAAAATTTCTCTGTTAGTTATATTCTAGGAAATTAGTGCATGGCTACAGATTATGCCATCACGATCACACAAATAACTAAAAGTATAAAGTTCCCGAGTATACCTCATCATCAGAATATATGGTAAGACTTTCAAGATTTGGGACAATATTTTGAAGCTTGGTAATAACATAACAGAGGAAGTTGGTCTTATCATAGAAGTTTATATCTAGGGTCTTCACTTGCGATGATTGTCCAAGTGAGAGTTCTATTAGGTTACCAGAATATATAAGACTGGACAGGTTCGGAGCTTTGCTCTCTATCATTTGCAGATGGCACAAATCCACATTCAGGTAGCTGAGTTGCTCCAGCAAACATGGTATCTTCAGATATACTAACTCTCTGCAATAGCTGAGATCCAAATGCTTCAAAGCAAAACACTCAGAAAGAAAGCAAGCTAACTCATCATCCGTAATAAGAACAGAATGCAAATGCAGCTTCGTCAGATTTCTCGAGCAACCAAGGCCAGCCATAGGGCGGAAGGCACAATTGACAAGCTCAAGATGCTGAAGCGACCTTCCACTCCCACCAGACAAAAGTGAGCATGGGAAGCTGTATTCCGAAGGCAGCGAAAGAGTGATTTCTTCAATTCCAGATGAAATAGCAATCTGAAGCCAATTGTTGAGACGACATATAAGTTTGCGGCGACCACAAACAAGCTGAAATCTCTTCACACCAATGCCCGAGTGATTCTTCAGAATGTGATCAACTCTAGTGAAATACCTTGCCATATGAACCTTCCAATGTTTTTTCTGTTCCAAGCCCAATGTTTCCGTTGTTAAGATGAGGTTAGGATAGCGTCTCCACGAACGAAGAAATGCTTGAGATACACAAGCAGCACGGGCAGCATCTCGCAGCGGCATTAAGGAATGTATATGGCGCCAAATGTCCTGCACAAGCGTGGGAAGAACAGTTGAAGATTGGGATTATAAAGGCAAACAGTTTGCTCCAACTAAGAAAAATAGGACCATGCATATAAGATTGTACCACATGTGATCTGTAAATGTGCATGAAATTAAATAAATCGAGTTAATTTGGCCTTTTGTGTTTCTGTGTTATTAGCTGGGAAAAAAGAGGAGCCCTGGTTTTTTGAAACATGCAGTTTTTAATAAAAACTTTCTGTTTATGACTTTATGGTTGCCATGCCTGCATTATAACAAAGTACCAAAGTACTTAAAAAAATAAATTCTGCTGCTTAGTTTTACTTAGCTTAGAAGAGGTCTACTCAATGTGTGCAGACTGCAGTTAGAGCAATGATATATTCTTACTTGCCATATGTTATAAGTGTTCCATAATCAATATCTTATGGCATACCTCCGTGAGGTATGGCCCTGAATACCTCAATCTTTTAGCACCCTGAGAACTATCACCCCCTCGTAGGAATGTGCCCTTTCGTTTAGCCATGGAAGTAATTGCTCCATCTGCAACACATCATGTATGGAAATGGTAATAAATAATACAGACACCAACAGAAGGAAACAACAAACTGGGGCATTTTTTTTCTTTACATGCAACGTTTCCCAGGGGAGTTAAGTATTGTTTCTCTAAGCATGATTAGATATGGGTGTAAATGTTGCTGAGTGAATACTGCTGGCTCCTCTGGAACCATCCATTGTTTGATCACTGCATTAATCCTATCTTAAACTACTTTTTTTTAATAATGGCAATGGATCTTTCATAAGGCACACAGCTATAAATTTAATAATAAAAAAAGGTAAAGATAAAAATAATTCAAAATAAAAAATAAAGTGGTGGGACAAATCCCAATTCCCCTTTATTATTGGCTAGCGTTAAACCATATAGATTTTTTAGCTAGCAATTCTAATGAAACTACGCTACACATAATGAAATAAGAGACTCTTGGCTACCGATTTTAATTTAAACACTTTTTTAATAAGTATGAAATACATAAATTCACTCAATTTTTTCAAAATTTTTAAATTATGAGTACATACCTAGTTATAAGAATTTTGATTCATATCTATACATAGCAACAAAACAACTCAAATTTAACTTTATTTTACAATCCATTATTATATGCCTAACTAATTATATGTTTGGATGCTATATACCTACAATCAAAATCTAACAAAAACATGTTTAAATTCAGTTCAAACTTGTTTTAACCTAGTTAAGTAAAGTAGTTAATGTTAATACCTAAACATTTAAAAAAATTCATACTCATTTGAATTGGGTATACACATAAAAACAAATCCAATTTGAAACAGGAAGGAGCACTGCTTGAGCACTACACCCTGCTTAAATCAAACAGAAAAAAAAAAGGGAGTAAGGATGGTTGCTATGATGCTATCCGCTCTGCTATGCGCTATCCGCGAAAGCGAAGTTCTTACGGTCAAAATAATGAACATCGCCTAGCCGGTGACACAGATCAATCTCAACCTAATTGCAAACGAGCCTTGTCGCACGAGACCGAGGAGGAGAGGGAGGGAGGCTAAGGCTATGTTCTTTTGGTTCAGTTGGGAACCCATCACTCCGGTACGGAAAACGAAGCAGTCCATTAGCACGTGATTAATTAATTATTTGCTAATTTTTTTTCAAAAATGGATCAATATAATTTTTTTAAGCAACTTTCGTATATAAACTTTTTGCAAAAAACACACCGTTTAGCAGTTTGAAAAGCGTGCGCGCAGAAAATGAGATGGGGGAGTTGGGAACTCCAGGAAACGAACAGAGCCTTACTGCGAGCTTGGGCCTTGCGACGACGACGGCGATCCCGCTGCGCAGCCATGAGACGCCTCAGCGCCAACATCCCCATGGTAGCAGCAGCGAAGACACTTTCCCTCCTCGCTCCGGATCTCTCCGTCTGTCAGCCAGCTTCGATTTTATTTTATAGTATCAATCTATCTACCTTGGTTCGAATCGGAAGCACAACCACACCAAACGCAAGGGAAGGGATGAAATCTCCCGAGTCCCCACGCCACGAGGAGACGTGGCAGAGAAGGGCGAAAGGGAAAATGAGGAAAAAGGGTGCCCCACGAATAGACGGCTGGATATTTGGGCCGCCGCAATGCAAGGCCCACGAGAAAAAAAAAAGGCTTTTCGTAAATTAGCAAAGCTTTGCTTGCCACGTCATCGCCTGATTCGCCTCCGGCTGACCGGGACGGCTTCTACGCCGCCACACTCTGGATGCACGACCACCACCCCCGCAACGGCTCGCCGCCATCCTCGCCAACTTCGGCTGCCTCAACCTCCTCGAGATCATCTACCGCGGGCCGCGACGAACACAAGGAGGTGTGAGAGAGAGAATGGCTCAATGCGATGATTGATTCACACCACAGAGTATCACATGTAGATTCTCAAGCGGATGAAGTTTCGGAGGCACCTGCTCATTCCGATCACGCGGGATGAATAGAACCGGAGACAGCGCAGGAACAGAAAGAGAGTATCACCAAGGAACAATAGCAGGAGGAAGATACATTCTTTGAGAGCCTTTGCCTTGCATTATATGTAGAGAGATAGATCTCCATTACCACACAAATAAATCTCATTTGTTGTGAAGGTTACTACAAAATGAATCTCTCATTTGTTGTGGAGGTTCCAACACAATGAATCTCTCATTTGTTGTGGAGGTTACAACACAATGAATTTCATTTGTTAATGGTGACTTTATTTTCGTCTGTTACAAAAGGAAAGAGCAGCAGGCAGGCTCGGCTCGGTCGGCCGCCTTACCTCGGTCACGCCCACGGCCGAGGCTGACTCGGCGCGCACGCGTGTGGCAGTCCAACCATCACCTCAACCGGTTAATAAGGAATCTCCAATATCACCCTATTTAAGTTGAGGTTCTTCCACCTAAATTTTCATGGCAGCATTATTGTCTCTAACATTACTTGTGGGTTCTTGAGATTTTAATTGAATTAAATTGCACCTAGCCCATTTATTCCAATATTACATGTATAGACATCAACCTTCCATACTCTCTCCACCGACTTATGGAAAAAATATCAGGAGGAAAACGGAAGGTGAGCCATGTACAAGGAAACTAGGAAATCACATTCCAACAGGAGGGAGGAGACGACCGGCCCGAGGATCCCCGTCGTCCCCGCCGCTGCGTCGAACATGCCGAGGCTGCGCGGGTGCCGGTCGACGCGGCCATGCTGCACGACCTGGTGGCCGCGGCACTCAAGGGCGATCACGACGAGGCCGCCGAGCTGCAGTGGCGGCGCATGGCCTGGTGTCCGCGCTGGCCGCCGGAGGGCGGCTAAGCAAACTACGTAGCGCTGTGCGGGCTGTCGTCGGGCGCGGAGGCCGTCGCGCTGGGGCTACCGATCTCGGAGTCGGAGGTGAGCAAGGATCCGTGGAAGGGACGGGCGATCACCTTCGACGCAACGCAGCAGCTGCACAAGGTGTGCGGCGCGACGCTCCGGTCCAACTCCCAAGAGCCGCGACCTGGACCTGCAGGCTGTGTTCGACCGGATCCTGCCCGCGGGCGGGCTGGCCAAGGCCCAAGGACATGATGGTGAGGAAGGTGTTCGTGCTGAGCGACATGGAGCTGGATGCTGGCGCGTGGCGGTCGCAAGACGAGCTGAACACCATCAGGTGCAAGTTCGCCGCGAAGGGGTTGTCGGCGCCGGAGGTGGTGTTCTGGAACGTGGGCGCGCCGGCGTCGACACCGGTGGTGGAACCTCAGGAGAACGCGGGCGGTGGTGAGCGGCTACTCAAGTGTTGGATTGATAGACTCAACGTGTGTATTCCATTGGTGCATAGCACGGAGTACTACAAGAAGCCCCGTGGCCCATGAACCGTGGAGCCGGCGAGGAAAAAGTACACCGAAGGACCCTCAACTTGTCATCGAGTTACAAAATCGTCCCCCAACCACAAAACCAGGTATCTAGCGTCCCTCAACTATCAAAACCGGCCACTAGGGATGAAAGTGGTACGGATAATTTCCGAGTTCCGATCATGTTTTTCGGATGTGGATTGTTGCGGTCGGATTTTTTTTCGGATATTTTCGGATTCGGATACGAATTCGGATAGTTTTTCTCGGATACGAATTCGAATACGGTAGCGATGGTATCCGTCGGAAATCGGATTCGGTCGGAAACTATCCGACCTTTTTTGCCGGATATCCGAATCAAAATAAACAGCAAAATCCAAATTAACAACATCGAAAAACGCTCGTCACCGTCCGCCGCACGCCGTCGCCTCGCGCCGCCGAGTTCCCGCCGTCGCCGTCGGACGTCGCACGTCGCACGCCGGATCTGCTCGTCGCCGTCCGCCGCATGTCGTCCACTCGCGCTGCCGAGCCCCCTCCGTCGCCGTCGCCTCACGACATCGGATCCGCGGCTGCAGGGCCGCCAACCCCGGATCTGGCCGCCCCAAGACCGGCGTCGCCGTCCGCCGCACGCCGTCGCCTCGCGCCGCCGAGTTCCCGCCGTCGCCATGACTCGGCTGCCCCGAGGCCGGCGCGGCCGGTTCCGCTCGCCGCCGTCCGCCGCACGTCGTCGCCTCGCGCCGCCTCGCCCCCGCCGTCGCCGTCCGCCACACGAGGCCCCGCCCCTGACGTTGCCGTCGCCGTTCGCCGCACGCAGCCCCGCCCCTGTCGTCGCCGTCGCTGTCCGTCGCCGTAGCCGTCCGCCGCACGCGGTCGAGGGAGCCGGGAGGAAGGGTGGCGGGTGGCGGCTGGGAGGAGATTGGGAGGTAGAAACTAGGGTTAGGTTTATATATCCCTCCATCTAAATGGGCCAACGGGCCTAAGAATTAGCTATTAAGTCTATACGTCCTCCCTCAACTTCGAATTAAATTTTATGATACTAAATGCACTCATGTGAAAAAGTTATCAAAAACAAGTTGTAGAATTTATTAAGATCTACCAATTTTATTTTGGTCATTTCTTCATCCGAGTTTGATTGAATTATATAAATTTTGAATTTTAAAATATAAGAAATTCAAATATTTTTTCAGGTAGTAAATATATTTCAAATGGAAAAGTTATCAACAACAAAGTTGTATAACTCATCAAGAGCAACAACTTTTGTTTGGGTCATTTTTCTATATGAATTTGTTTAAATAGTTAGAATTTGGATTTCAAAATATGACACCTTCAAACAACATTTTCAAATACTAAATGATTTCAACTAAAAAAGTCATCAACAACAAAATTGTATAACTTATCAAGATCTATAGCTTTTATTTTAGTCATTTTTTCATCTGACAAAGCGATAGCAATATTGTTTACAAAATTTACATATCTCGTATATGGTTTCATAAGATATAAGAGATATATACAAATTTTATGAACAATATTACTATCACTTGGTCGGATGAAGAAATGACCAAAATAAAAGTTTTAGCTCTTGATGAGTTCTACAACTTTTATATTCAGAACTTTTTCAATTGAAATTATTTACTGCTTCAAAATATTATTTGAAGTTGCTATTTTTTGAAATTCAAAATTTTACTTGATAAAACAAAGTCACAAGAAAATATGGCCAAAATAATAGCAGTAAGAACACAATAACTCGATAGAACATGATTTTAGAACACAATAATAGCCTTGTAATGTCTTACTCTCGATTGAATCGTCTCCCTCGACCACAAAATCAGATATAACAAAATTATTAATACTAAAATTTGAAAATGTTGATATGTTCTATTAGAAAAAATAACGAGTTATATTTCTTCGTTGATTTGTGAAGGTTAGTTTGAGGGGCTTTTATGTTCCGATTAATATTCGTTACCGTATTCATTTCGATTCGTATTCGCTCCGTATGAATATGATAAAGCTAGTTTCCGACCGTATTCGATCCGTTTTCATCCCTACCGGCCACAATAAGTCATTCGGTGGTTTTGACCCCGGTTTTGTCCTACGCGATAGCTGAGTTAGTGTGGGACCCACGTGGGCCCCACATGTCAGGCTGCCACATCAGCCTCCTCTCTCCCTCTCTTTTCCCCTTCTCTCTCCCTCCTCATCTCTCTCTCTCCCCCTTCTCTGACTCAGCCGGCAGGAGGAGGAGGGCGTCGATGGCCGGCAAGGGGCGACGAGGCGGCGGTGGGGGGAGAAGCTGCAGGTGGGCGGCGGGGAGGGGCGGCGAGGAGCAGCGCGCGGGCGGCGGGGGGAGGAGCGGCGCCCGGGCTCCCCCGTCGGCCGCCGCCCACAAGGCTCACGTCGTAGAAGTCCTTCCCGTCGCCACCGCCCAGCGTGAACTCGGCGAGGGTGACGGGCGGCGCGCCGCCGAGGGAGCAGCTCACGGCGCCGCCGAAGTCCCCCGTGGCGCAGGCGAGGGACGCGGTGCCAGAGGTTGCACAGTCCGTGCGCGCCCACAAGCGGCCGGACCAACCATCCGGGGCTAGGAACGAGACGTTGGCGCCGGGCGACAGCTCGAAGCCGCCGGCCCCGATGGCCACCGCTGTGTTTCTGGACAAGGTGGTCGCCCAGACGGTGTAGGTGCAGTTGTTGCGCATCGTGAAGACCGTCGTGCCGGCTGCCTCAGCGCCGAACTGCAGCTGCGACCATAGGAACCCTGCATTGAGACACGCCATTGTTGAAGAATGAAGAAGATGTGTGCTAATAGCCTAAAGTTAACCGGCCTGAAAGTTTCTCGGACTTACCAACGAGGAGTAGAAGGGTTGGAGATCGTCCGAATTTCATTGATCGAAATGGTTTAGCTCGAATGAGAAAAAGGTGAATATATTTTTTTGGAATTGAGGAGAGAAATGGCAGTTGAACAATGCACGTACTCAAAGCGTGCGAGCTGCAGCTAAGATAGTAGAAGAGGAAATGCACAAATGGTGAAGTAGCAGCAACAGTAATTTGCCTGGTGATTATCTTGTTTATATGGACCTTGGTGATATCCTCAGTAATTTGCCGTGTCGTCGCCGCCGTGCCGCCCGCCGCCTCCTCCTCTGCCTCGTGAGCCTCGTGGGCGGCGGCCGGCGGGGGAGCCCGCGCGCTGCTCCTCGCCGCCCGCGTGCCGCCCCTCCCCGCCACCCACCAGCAGCTTCTCCCCGTCGCCGCCATCATTGCCGCCGCGTCGCCCCTCGCCGGCCGCCAACACCCTCCTCCTCCTGCCTGCGGCTGTCAGAGAAGGGAGAGAGAGAGAGATGAGGAAGGGAGATAAGAGGGAAAAAGAGAGAGAGAGAGGAGGGTGATGTGGCAGCATGACATGTAGGGCCCACGTGGGTCCACGCTGATTCAGCGCCACGTAAGACAAAACCGGGGTTAAAACCATCAAAGACCTATTGTGACCGGTTTTAATAGTTGAGGGACGCTGGATACCTGGTTTTGCGGTTGGGGGACGGTTTTGTAACTCGATGACAAGTTGAGGGACCTTCGGTGTACTTTTTCCAGTCGGCGAAAGGCACACGGGGTGGCGGGCCCAACAGGCCTGGCCGGTGAGCTGGATGGTGCCGGCCCACGGGTTGAAGGCGGTGGGCCACTGCGTCGTGGGCCGCTGGACCGAGCCAGCGGGTGGCGTGGTGGCGTTGCTGGTGCCGATGGAGCCGCCGTTGTTGCCGCCGTTACCGTTGTTGCCGCTGGAGGTGCCGGATGTGTTGCCGCCGTTGCAGGTCCCGCGAGTACCACTGGTGGCCGCTGCGACAAAGGCAGTGGCGGCGCCGGTGGAGTGGCCTTGTCCCTTGTTGATCTCGGCGATGAGAAGTTGCGAGCGTGCCTCTAGGAACGTCGGGAACGGGCGCTGCATGGGGAGAATCGTCTGCAAGTTGTGGTACTTTTCATTCAAACCTCGAAGGAAGTTGAGGACGAGCGTCTTGTTGGTGATCGGTTCGCCGAGGTCCGCCAACGAATCTACCATGGCGCGAAGACGACGACAGTAGTCGGTGCCGGACATGTCGCCTTGGAGGAAGGTGTAGAACTCGGTGGTGAGGTTGATGGCACGAAGCTCGGAGTTGCCGAGGAACTGGTGCTCGAGGTTGCGCCAGACGATACGCGTGGACGACGTCGGGGACAGGACTTCATGGAAGAGGTCGGCGGAGATGGTTCTGTAGAGCCAAGTGAGCACGACGCAGTCCATCTAGGCCCAGTCCGGATGAGCGGGAGGATCGTCGGAGAGTACGTGGTCCGTGAGAGCATACTTGCCGAGGACCACGAGAAACATGCCGCGCCAGCGAGTGTAGTTCCCGGCGGTGAGGTCGAGCGTGACAGGGATCAACGCTGTGATGTTGAGAACGGAGATGGCCTGCTGGTGGAGAGCGACTAGGGCGTCGGCGTCGATGACCGGCGGCGGCGCTAGAAGGACCGCCAACGGTGGTGGAGGCAGTCGTCCTGGCGCCGTCGAGAGAGCGCCGAGTTGCGCTACGACGGTGGCAAGGTCTGCTGCAGAGAGTGTGAGGGACGACGGTGGCACGTCCGTCGCAGGAGCCGGAGGCTCCATCATGGGGTCGACGAGGGTGGACGAGGTGTCGACGAGCTCGCCGGCGGCCGGTGCTTGAAGGAGGTCCGGAGGAAGTTGGTGAAGGCGTCGCGAGCGGCTGCTTCAGCCGTGGCGGCCGCGGCGTCAGCAACGGCGCGGATGGTGGTGGGGTCGACGAGGAGTTCTTCGGGCGGTTTGTAGCTGGCGCGGACGGAGTCGGCGACTGCTTGGACCGCCTGGGCGAGAGCGGCGTCATGTGCAGTCGGGGGAGGCGGAGGCGACGACATGGCGTCGAGCACACAACGGCGACGCTGGAGGTGTTAGGGTTTAGCGGAAGCGGAAGAAATCTGATACCATGTTGGATTGATAGACTCAACGTGTATTCCATTGATGCATAGCACGGAGTACAAGTAGGCGCAGAACCTTCCGGTCCATATCCAGCTCTACCAGTTTATAGAAACACACCCGGGTGGGATTAGGAAGGAACGGCCAAAGGAAATATACAATAGCATGCTATATACGAGAGATACAATTAGGGCTGTCAACGAGCCGAGCTCGAGCGAGCTTACCTATATAGGCTCGAGCTCGGCACCAACTCGAGCCGAGCTCGAGTCGAGCCTGTTTAAACTACAAGCTTAGAAATGGGCTCGAGCTCGGCTCGCTCGAGCCTCGAGCTTTCTCGAGCCTAACTCGTGTGCCCTCAAATAACCAATACAGATGAAAGGAGGCTGCATGCATGCTTGTCGAGTACTACTAGTACTAGTAGCTTTTTCAAACATGATATGACAACTAGTAGTACTATTAAATAGAGCTGCATGCATGCTAGTAGTACTAATAGGCTAGTGCTGCAGAGTAAAGTAGTACTAGTAGGCTAGTGCCTGCACGGTGCAGCCCTGCACGCTCTGTGTTTCTATACAGCTTTTCATTGGGAGTAGGAGTAGTACTAGCTGTTGCATTGAAAATTTAAGAACTTGACAGAGGGAAATCTGGGCTCGACGAGCTATTCGAGCTCGGCTCGTCAAGCTCGCAAGCTTGGAGCTAGGCTTGAGTTCGGCTCGAATTGTTGACGAATCGAGCTCGAGCCGAGTCTACAGCAAGCCGAGCTCAAGCAGCTCGCGAGCCTCGAGCTCTTTTGACAGCCCTAGATACAATGCTATATGCTTAACACCAACAACCTGGTCAGGCTCTTCTTGGAGTGGGACGGTGGCCGCCGTCATGGCTGATGCCATATCTCCGCGGGAGTACTAGTCGCTCGAGGTGGTGGAGTACTTCTGTATGATGATAGTAGCATGTGTGATGTGAATGAGATCTAGTGAGTGTTTTCTGGATAGTTTGGTTAATTGGTTGATCTCCTCTTTTTTGTTTTATTTTCGGACTGGTTATTAATTAGAATCATCCTGGCGCGATGTAATAATGCACGTTTCTTCTATTAGGTCTGCTTTATTTCCTTTTTATTTGATTTTTGTTTCTACTTTTTTTATAGGGAAAAAAATTTTAGAGGGAAGATTTTTTGTTTCTAACTAGAAAAGATGCAACGAGATAAACTAAATTTATTATAACACTACAAGATTAAGGTTCAATTTTGGTGATTTGACTATTTTCCAAATTATCTAGTTTCATAAAGAGATGGGGACGAGATTGAGGTACTAGGATATATGCGAGATTGAGGTAAAAGAGATGGGGACGAGGATTTTTATATAGGTTCGGGCCCCTGAATTGTCAGGTAATAACCCTACTCCTGTTGGCCGAAACCGGTAGTTGCTCTTATTCACCATAATCACACCAGTACAATATTTGGGATAGCCTATCTAACTGTTGTCGACTTGGCGGTCTGAAGTGCTGACTCGTAGTCGACAACAGGGTAGCCTTCCTCCTCGAATCTGTTCCCGGCGAGATCAGAGACAGCGCTAGATCCCTACCGCTGGCTTCCGTAGGTACCGGATAGGGTCTTTCTAGGCATATCTCTAATGTCGATATCCGGCGAATTGTCTTGACGTATGTTGGCTTGTATATTGATCTTGTGTCTTAATCTATTGTTCCGTGTCCCCTCTCCTCCTAGGGGGTCTTGTATTTATACCCATAGGTATCCCCTTGTCCAAATAGAGCTAGGGAAACCATTATGGATACAATCCGAGTAGTCTTTGTCGTTTTCATGTAGAATTATATTCATCCCTCCTTATGCGGAACTCATCATATATCCGAAGGTTGTTTCCGTATAAGACATGGTATATGGTGGGTTCTGCCGAGATTTAGTCAACTACTATTAGGTATGTGGTATCCCTAACCCTGACAGTACTTTATGCATTTTTTGTTTTTAATTTTTTTTTCAAATAAGACGAAATCAAAGTTTGACACGGAAAATTATGGTTGCATTTAAAATCGAACGGAGAGAGTAAATCATTCAATAGTCTAAATTATTTATTACTACATCCGAACCAATTCCCCCGGAGTGATTGAGGATTTGGGTGAAACTCAGATTAGTCTACTTAAGCTAGTGCAACAACACATGATACTCCATATTGGTAAACTGTAACGATCATGTTCAGAGAGTAAATTTTTTCTCTGGAACAATCTTAATCACAAAAGGAAAAGTAGAATGCATCAGATCCTCGCTACTACGAAAAGGTCCGCTATAGCAGGGCAAGCCTCAGCTAGGGTTTGTTTTAAGAACTTATGAGAAGATGACGGGAAAAACCAATCCACCACTCCTCCTGCTTCTCTCCTCCTTATTGATCCGTTTTTTCAATTTGCTCCTCGATTAGTGCTATGGTTTTTTGGAGATATATGGAGTAGATGATAAGAGGAGGGAGATAAACGTGCGTTCCAGGCGAAAAAGGTATTGCGCGAACGTTCGCCGTTCCATGGGGCTTGCGGACGGACTTGGACTCCAGACGCGCGCACACGACACAGTGAAGGAAATCATATGTAAAGCAAACGCGCAAAGCGACGTAGGAAATCTTATGCGAGCGGATCGATAAATAAAAAACTAAATCTCTACTACTTAAAAAAAATAAAGGTGCTTCTATCATCCGTCAAAAAAACGGACAGAAAAAACCAAGTTTGTCTGATAAAATAACCGGACAAAAAAGAAGTCCGATCTAGAAAACAAGGATGAAAAAAACAAAAAAACCGGACGGAAAAAACCAGGTTTGTCCGATAAAAAAACCATAGGAAAAAAGTGCGAAAAAAGGTCCGATCCAGAAAAAAAAAGGCAAAAAAAAAACGGACGAAAAAAAAGTCCGATCCAGAAAAAAAAAGGCGAAAAAAACCGAAAAAACCAGAAGTCCGATCAGAAAAAAAGGAAAAAACCAAAAAGTTATCCGATCCAAAAAAAAAATTCCATCGACGTGGTAAAAGAAAAAAAATTTGTCCGATTCCACAAAAATAGGAAACAAACTCCCATCCGTTTCCACTTGGGCTGATTAGCGAAAAAAAAATAAAACAAAAAGTCCGACTCCTATATCCGATTCCCTCTCAGAAACCAAAAAAAAAATTCGACTCTAGATTGGTGAAAAAATTGATGTGCCGGATTGAAGATCTGTTTGAAAAAAAACAACGGAACCTACAGGTCGAGATCATTTTATTTTTATATGATTTTAATTTTTGGGTTTGTACTTTTTGCATTTGAGTCCCTGTAATTTTTATATTTATATTTGAGTCCCTATAATCTTGCAATAAGGTACTTGAGGTCGTTTTTGTTAAAAAAAATAATAAAAGAGAGATAACAAAGGCAGAAAGGTGCATAAAAAGAAAAAGGAAAGCCGTACAAAAAAGAAAATAAAGAAAAACAACAAGAATAAAAGTATTTTTCCCCTAAGTGGCGAAAAAACTGTAGATCCGAATGGAAAAAAAATTGATTCATAGAA